GATGTACAAGCTGTGTTTAGAAGAGGCAGAGGAATCAGAGATCAAATTGCCAACATTTGTTGGGTCATAGAGAACACAAGGGAATTCCAGAAAAACATATACATCTATATTGATTACACTAAAGCCTTTGACTATGTGGATCACAACCAACTGTGGAAAATTCTTAAAGAGATGAGAATACTAGACCACATTACCTGTCTCCTGAGAAACCTGTATGAGGGTCAAGAAGCAACAGAACCGGACATGGAACAATGGATTGGTTGAAAGGTTTTGGGAAAGGAGTACAACAAGACTGTATATTGTCACCCTGCTTATTTAACTTATATACAGAGTACATCATGCAAAATGCTAGGCTGGATAAATCACAAGCTGGAATCAAGATTTCCAGGAGAAATATCAACAACTTTAGATATGCATATGATACCACTCTAATGGCAGAAAATGAAGAGAAACTAAAGAGCCTTTTGATAAGTGTGAATGAGAAGAGTGAAGCCAGTTTTAAGCTGGCTTAAAACTCAACATTCAAAAAACTAAGATCATGACATTTAGTCCCATCACTTCAAGGCAAATAGATGGGCAAAAAGTGAAATAAGTGACTGATTTTAATTTCTTGGGTTCCAAAATCACTGCAGATGGTGACCACAGCCATGAAATTACAAGATGCTTGCTCCTTGTAAGGAATGCTATGACAAACCTAGACAGTGTATTAAAAAGCAGAGACATCGCTTTGCCAACAAAGTCCCATATAGTCAAAGCTATGATTTTTCGAGTAGTCATGTACGGATTTGAGAGTTGGACTATAAAGAAGGAGAAGTGCCGAAGAATTGATGCTTTCAAAGTGTAGTGCTGGAGAAGACGAGAGTCCCCTGGACTGCAAGGAGATCAAACCAGTCAATCCTAAAGGAAATCAACCCTGAATATTCATTGGAAGGATTGATGCTAAAGCTAATGCTCCAATACTTTGACCACCCAATGCAAAGAGCTGATTCATCGGAAAAGACCCTGATGCTAGGAAAGATTGAAGGTAAAAGGAGAAGGGGTTGGCAGAGGATGAGATGGTTAGATAGCATCAGCAACTCAATGGACATGAATCTGAGCAAACTTCAGGAGACAGTAAAGGACAGGCGAGTCTGGCATGCTGCAGTCCATGGGGTCACAAAGAGTTGGGCACGACTTAGCAACTGAACAACATGAGATACAGAATGATTATATGGCAACATGTAAGAAAATGCTTGATAGAACAGTACAAAGTGGACAAGAATGCTGAAGGAATTCAAAGAGGAAAGATTACTGGAGATGGACCTAATCAGTGAAGGCATCATTTAGAGATAAACCTTAAGCTGGATCATAAAAGAAGTATAAAGATTTGGATTAGCAGAGGAGAAAAAGAATTACAGAAGACTGACATCAGCAAAGACATGAACATGAGAACAAGAAACACACTGATGGCAAAGAATTAGAGTTTGAAGGGAGATGGGTCTGAAGTGATCAGTCTCTTGGCTGTACAAAAAAGTCAACTGCTAAGAGGCAGAGTTCCCAGTCACACAATATAAAATGAGCAAGTGTTTTTCAACTCAAATTACATAGAAAAGCAGTAAACTTACACTCTTTACTGTGGACCCCAGGAATGAAAGGGAAGGTAGCAAGAGAAGCCAATGGACTTCTCTGGTAGTCTACTGGTTAAGAACCCACCTGCCAATGCAGGGGACACAGGCTTGTCCCTGGTCCGGGAAGATTCCACAAGCTGCAAGGTAACTAAGCCTGTGCATCACAACTACTGAGCCTGCACTCTACAGCCTGTGCGCCACAACAAGAGAAGCAACTGCAATGAGAGGCCCTCACACCCCAACTAGAACATAGCCCCACTCCCACCCTCTGCAACTTAAGAAAGCCTGTGTGTAACAACAAAGACCGAGCACGGCCAAAAATGAATAAATAATTTTTAATCTTTTTTTTTTTAAAGAGAAGCCAAGTTCAAACTGGTGATTATAGGTAGGAAGGAGAAGCGGGAGAGTAACAGGAGCCTCAATGGCCCTCAGATCTGTGACCCGGAAATATATGAATAAAAGACACCTAGATTTCCTCTATATGCTTCCCATTCCTTTCCTGACAGTAATTCATTTGAAAGGTGCCTGACCTATTGATGGTTGGAAAAATGTCCCTTTAAGTGATGCTTGCAAAGCCAGGCTCTCATGCTAAGTTAGTCATTGCCCAGGAGAGGATGTTCCCAGCAACCCTTCTTATCCCCAAATGGAATTTAGGTCTGGCACAGAATGGGTTTTAAAATCATTCCCTTCCAACTTTCCCACAAAGGGCACTGCTCTATTCTGTTGAAACTTACCAGTGAAGTTTAAATCCAGAAAATCCAAGGTCTTGCTGAAAATTATTAATATAATAGTTTACAAGTAGCAGATGGATGAAAGGTGGGGATAAAGAGAACTGGGAAGAAAAGGAATATGAAAATGAAGAAAGCAATAAATTATTGAAATGTAACCTCATTTAGCTGGAACCCTATGTAAATTTTCTGCATTTGTTGTTCAGAACCCACCTGAGCAAAACAAACAAAACCAGTTAGTTGAACAAGTTTCAATCCCTTACCACTAAGAGGAAGAGATGGCAAGGAACATGAAGAGAAGCCAAAACATCAGCTTCTCGGGGTATGAACTTCAAAAACCAAAGCAGGGGCATGAAATTTGTGTTCAAGCAAAGCCCTGAGATTTCCCCAGAGTTTCTCAAAACATCAAATGACATCTACAAAACACTTAATTTGACGTTCACGGTTTCTCTAACCTTCCCAACAAAAGGAGGGGACTGAACTCTGGTAATGAACTGACTAAGGAGGTACTTCAGTTGCAGATGGTGACTGCAGCCATGAAACTAAAAGATGCTTCCTCCTTGGAAGAAAAGCTATAACCAACCTAGACAGCATATTAAAAAGCAGAGACATTCCTTTGCCAACAAAGGTCCATCTAGTCAAAGCTATGGTTTTTCCAGTAGTCATGTATGAATGTGAGAATTGTACTATAAAGAAAGCTGAGGGCTGAAGAACTGATGCTTTTGAACTGTGGTGTTGGAGAAGACTCTTGAGAGTCCCTTGGACAGCAAGGAGAGCCAACAAGTCCATCCTAAAGGAGATCAGTCCTAAATATTCATTGGAAGGACTGATGCTGAAGCTGAAACTCCAATACTTTGGCCACCTGATACGAAGAACTGACTCATTGGAAAAGACCCTGATGCTAGGAAAGATTGAAGGTAGGAGGAGAAGGGGACAACAGAGGATGAGATGGTTGGATGGCATCATCAACTTGATGGATGTGAGTTTGAGTAAGCTCTGGGAGTTGGTGATGAATGGACAGGGAAGCCTGGCGTGCTGCAGTCCATGGGGTCGCAAAGAGTTGGACAAAACTGAGCAACTGAACTAAACTAAAGGAGGTACCACCACTAGATCCTAAAAAAAAAAAAAAAAGGTGAAGGGACGTAATTTACTCTGTGACAGCCTTAAGGCGCCATCTGCAGTTTTCATCGAACACTGCAATAAACCGAGACCTGCTGCCTTGTTAGGGCCACACACTCACTGTTAGAGTAAAAAAGAAAGCAAAGAAATACTAAATTCCAGCCAGGGAGTCCTCAAAAGCCTCCTAAGTCCCAGAGTAGATGAAAACTCAGCTTGAAGACACAGTGCCTAGGAAAAGACCTAAGGGCCTTAGTTGGCTATAAGCTCCATGAGAAACCACCCCCCTCCAAAAAAGCTAATAAATTCTTAGACTGCTTGATATAAAGGATGATATACTGTCCAGACCTTGAGAACTTAATAGCTCCACAGTACCTTGTTCTGTCTGAACACATCTGAGAATTGCATTTAGTTCTGGGCACCACAATTTAAGAGCAATATTGACAACAGTCATAAAAATGTTCATACCCTTTGACCCAGTAATCCCACCCATGGGAATCTATTCTGAAATAATTCAAGAGAATAGATGAATTAGAAACATGAAAATATTGATGCAGCATTCTTTATAACAACAAATATGTATCAGCAAATATATATATATATATATATATATATATATATATATATATATATATATATCGTAAATGTCTCCCAATAAGGGAATATTACATAGCATTAAAGTATAATTATGTTATTTGAAAAAAAGTAAAAATATAGAATAATAATGCCTGCTGCAACATGGATGAATCCTGAAAATATCATACTAAGTGAAATACACCAGACACAAAAAGAAACATTGTATGATTCTATTTACTTAAAAGGTCCAGAATAGGCAAACCTATAGAGACAGAAAGTAGATTAGTAGTTGCCAGGGTCTGGTGAGAGGAGAGAATTGTAATAGGTATCGGATTTCTTTTTAGTGGTTTAAAATGGTCTGGAGTCAGTGTTGATGACTTTACAACCTTATAAATAAACTAAAAATCACTAAATTGTATACTTTAAAAGGGTAAATTTTATGGTATGTGAGTTATAGCTCAATAAAAAAAAATATGTGTGTATATATATATATATATACACACACATATGACATCTTCCTAGTAATATATATCAATGCCTATGATTTAGGGAAGGGAAAAACTATAAGATTATATCCCTGATATGGTATGTACATTTATGGATGAGGACTAAAAGAGAACATGAATAAATGAAAACAGACAGTTTGATACAGGTGAATTTTTGATTGGGGGTGGCCGTGATATTGTTCTTTGAATAAGTAAATATTTTATTTTTTTCCCAAGACAGTGTCCACAAGAGGGCAGAGAGATGTCAAACCAAACTATTTAACACAAGCCTCATCCAAACAAAAACCCAGAATCCAGTGTGGAAAGCAATCTTAAAGGTTATCTAAATTCAATTTCCTCACCTAACAAAGAAAAAACTGAGGCCCAGAATAGTAAAGTGGCTCATTCTAAGTCAGCAGGCTGGTCATGCAAGAGGCAGAAGGAAAACCCTATCTTCTCACTTCTCCATCCATCCTCTTTCTATCAAACTACAGTGCATCCTTAAACAAGACAATGTTTAATCTAGAAAAGGGAAAATTTAGAGGGGTATGAAGGGAAGGGCAAGTTCTTATCAAGAAAGCATTCCTGGGACTTCCCTGATGGTCTAGTGGTTAAGACTCCTCACTCCCAATGCAGGGGGCCCCAGGTTCAATCCCTGGTTGGGGAACTAGATCCCACATGCTGCAACTAAGAATTTGCATGCTGCAACCAAATAAGTGAATAAAAATAAATATATATATGTTTTAAAAAGCTTTCTTAATGGCTTTTGTTCTTTGTAACAAGAAATGGGAGATCTAGAAAGAAATTTCAGGGAAGCAAATTTCAGTGCAATAAAAGAACAACAAAATACCTATGGCTGATTCATGTTGATGTTTTGTAGAAACCAACACAATTCTGTAAAGCAATTATCCTTCAATTAAAAAATAAATAAAAATTTTAAAAAAGAATAACAATTAAGGATGCCCAAAAGATGGGACAGGTATGGGATTTCCAATTAATTCAGAAGCCAGAATGGTCATCTCTGGGAAGATGGTCATCTCTGGGTCATCTCTAGACCCTGTGCTGCACCAGATGAGTACTTGGGGGAGAGGCTTTCTCAGTTTGATTCCAACTTTTTAAAGGTTCTGTACACTTTTATTTGTAGGAGTGGGAGAATACAACATCATTGGATTTCATTTATATCAACTCAGGTAGAGAAAAAGAAGATCTCTCACCTGCTAATATCTTAGTTGGTTTTTTAAAAATAATTATTTCATAGTGAATTTCTACTTTCAGCTGATTTTCACTATGTCAGGGTCTTTAGGAAGTACATTCTCAGAAAAGTCTTAGTGATTATAACATTGTTTGGTGGCAAAGCAGAATTTTCTTCCAGAGGTTCCAAATTCATGTGACTTGTACCATTTCTTTATTTTCAAAAAATGGCTGGGCTACAGGATTAGATACATGAATATCTAGATGTCCACTGTGGGTAGGTAGGTAGCCTAATTCTGGCAAGCACTCAATTTCAGTACATGCTCACAGGCTAGGACAAGAGCGAAGATGAAATGCGAAGATGGTTTAACCAAACAGTATTTCCCACTAAGAGGGGAAGATTCTTTTTATTTATTTATTTTTGGCTTGCTGGTCTTCGTTGCTGCACGTGGGCTTTCTACTATCAATAGCTGCAGCCGGCAGGGGGCTACTCTGTTGTGGTGCAAGGGCTTCTCATTGCAGTGGCAGCACAGCCAAAATTAAAACAAACAAAAGAAAACAAATTTTTTAAAATGTTGTGCGAAGATACTGAACTTCACTAGAAGTCACAGAAAAGCAGATTGAAGTCTTCGGATACTATCTCTCACCCATCATCTTGGCAAAAAATTGAAAAGAGGTAACAGTACATACCAGTAACAAAGAAAGGACTACTTGTACTGCGGGTAAAAGTGTAGATTGTTAGTCTTTTCCAAAAGTAACCTGATAGAATAGCAATCACGGTATTAAAACATATATTCTGCTTGATCCTACTTTATCACTTATTGGAATCTAGCCTCAGAAAAACAAAAAGCATCAGCACACATGTTTATTTATTTATTTATTTTGGCTGAGCTGGGTCTTCCTTGCTGTGCCTGGGCTTTCTCTAGCTGTGACCAGCAGGAACTGTTCTCTAGTTGTGGTGCACAGGCTTCTCTCTTCTATAGGGAGTATGGACTCAGTAGTTGTGGCAAACAGGCTTAGGTGCCCTGAGGCATGTGGGATCTTCCTGGACCAGGGATCAAATCCATGTGCCCTGCACTGGACCACCAGGGAAGTCCCAGTACACGTTTAAAGATATTTACTGTAGCATTGCTCATGTGGGAAAAATAGAAACTGCTCATAAACAGTTCTCATTTAAATAAACTGAAATATATTTTTGTAACAAAAACTCATAAGAAAATTTGAGAGTAGTAAAATAATTTTACAAATCAAGTAAACCCCAATCACTCTTTTGTCTCTTTTTCCTTTTAGACTATTTTTAATATATTTATATTTTACAGATGTAGTACTACATATCATGTTAATAAACTACTAATAGCTTATGAAAATGGCTTATTAAAATTCCACATGATAATTTGAAGAATTGTGTTTTTCAAAGAAAATATATACATCAATTTTTTTGGCCACTTTAAAAAGGTGTGACAGGACTTCCCTGGGGGTCCAGTGGTTAAGGTCACAGGTTCAATACCTGGTCTTTGAAGGTTCCACATGCCTCAGGGCAACTTAGCCTGGTGAGTCACAACTGCTGAGCCCGAACTCTAGAGCCCACATGCCTAGAGACAGTGCCCTGCCACAAGAGATGCCACTGCAATGAGAAGCCCAGGCATCGCAACTAGACAAAGCCCTCTCACGGCAATGAAGGCACAGTGTTGCCAAAAAGGAATTAATTAATTTTTAAAAGTGTGATATTATAAATTAATCATACTTCAATAAAAAATACTGACAAAAAAAGAGAAATAACTTGATATGATGAAACATTTGAGTAAATTAAAAGAAACAACTTAGCCCTCCCATCTCCCCAAGGATCCTTCTGGGCAAGGTTCTCCCTGCCCCACCGTTCCGGAGTAGCTACTCTCAGGTCTTCAGGACCAACCAGCTGATTTGCAGGCTGTGCTGCCTCTCCTAGTCTGCTCAGGAAGCCCCTTCCTCAGGGAAGATGAGGTCCCCTAGCAGACCCAGCCAGGCCCCCAAGACCGCAGGCCTCTGGCTTTAGCCTTCCAGTCTCAGCTCCCTAGTAAGTACTTTCTGTGTCCCCCAGGCCCCAAGGACCCAGACCAAGGGTAGGAGACAGACCCTGCTGATGAAAGGCTCGTCACTGCCCAGCTCTCTGGCATGCTGGCCAGGTATGGCTGGGATCCTGCAGACCTCTGCTTACTGTGACCCCAGCACCCCGCCCCCGCCGGAGGCCTGTGGGCACCCGACCCTGGGGTGCTGCTTGCCTGCCCGCCTCTCCCAGGGAGCCTCAGCCCCTGTGTGGGCTCAGGACACCGCCTGGGCAGTCCGTGGTGACCAAGGCAGCCCAGCTGGTGCCACCCGCTCCTGTTCCATCGCCCCCAGGCCCTGGCAGCTCCTCTGAGCTTTGCATGTTCCACTAACTCAGGTAGGTGGCAGGAGGAGGCAGCAGGCTTTTTTTTCCTTCTCCGAGGGAAGAACACTAACCTGACCACAGCGGGCCTGTCGAGCTCACCCCAAAAAAAGCAATTCCGACCTCAAAAAACAAACAGAAAAGTAAAAAAACAAAAAACAAACAAAAAAGTAAAAGAAAAAGGTGTGAAAGTTAAATTTGGCCTTAAAATTGTAGTACATAAATTCACTGGGTAGTATTTTATATACTGCAAAGAAAAAACATCTATAAATGTCATTCCTCTCAATTGATTGGGCCATTTTTTTACTCAGTAGGGAATACAAGCCAAAGTAATTCTGCTTTTTAAAAACACACATACTACTCAGAGTTAACTTTCAGAAAACAGGAAAGTGTGAGGGTGGTACACACAAATAAAGAAAGCTGGAGAAAAGGTACATAATTTTACTATCATGATCCTGATCTCCAGGCTTCCTCTTCAAACTGAGTCATCCTGGGCTGTTCCTTCTACAACTGGGAATGAGATAAGGCCCCCTTGAGATGTTCAAGCTGTTGGTTCCCTACGGTTTCCCCAAAGTCTCCACAAAGACATATGAAATATAAAATCATGAATTTTCCCATAAGTCCCCATAAAACAGTATCATCTATCCCTTCTGCAATTTTCTAACACATTCTGTTTACACCTCTTAGGACACAGTTCAAAACACAGAACAAGGCAGTCTTCAATATGTGTACTTGTGTTATTATCCCCCACCAGACTGGAAAAGACTAGGGAGCAGGGTGTATAGCTCAGAATCAAATCCCAAGTTTCAAGAAGACCTGACAATTCAGCCAGTCCAACCATTTGTGTAAAGTTTGAAAGTTCACCACAATATTCCAATCAGAAGGGTCTGTGATGGGGGGATTATCCCCCACCTCACAGCAGCTTGTTCCTTCTTTGGAAAAGTACAACTTCTCAAAAGTTCTCCTACAACCAAAATTTAAGTATTTTCCTGAAAAGATTAGAATTCCAGCCTTTTCAAACTTAACCCCAGTCTTACACCTTGGTAGTCTACAGAAAAGATCAAATACTTTTGCTACAAGACATCTTGTGAAATGTTAGAACCCTTATATTTTCCTTCAATCACCTCACTTGGTGGTTTGCACATAAAGAAAGTTAAGTAAACCTCCTCCATGATCTATCACTATACCAGAGGTGAAATCAGGTGGTCTAGTCTCTAAAAGATATTTTATTGGTTTTATAATATGTCTTTCTTTTTTTTTTTGTATTTTCCAATAAATTTATTTCCTAATCTTTAAATAAAACAAGCTTTTCCATGAAATACGCTATGATTATTTATCTGTCTCACTGATTATCAAATGTGATACACAAAAATACTGATTGAAGAATCAGTCAGTAACATCACAGAAAAGGCATCTCTGTGACCTATTACTGCCACAAGTAGCACGTTTTTCATTATTATAACAGTTTACTCAGGGAATTAATCAGAATTCCTGTTAACACAGCGAAGCCTTTCAATCAAATATGTAACTTTGCTGGAACGAAGAAACGTTTCCAGTGTAAATTGGATGGTACTGATAAATTAGCGCTTTGCTCTCTTCAACATCAGATTCAAAATGGTGATTGCTTTTCCGAGCTTCAGCCACAAAGAACTCTGCTAAATAAAACGCAGCCTTCACAGCATTAGGTGCATGGGAAATGCCTTGTAATTGCCCCCACTCATAAGGAGCTTTCTCCGGATGCCACTGGACGCCATATATTAGATACCGGTATCCTATCATGGTTGAAATAAAGTCAATATTGCCATCTGTATTTGTAGTTAATATATTGAAAAACGCCTTTAACTTTTCATTCTTCGTAAAATTCATCACGGAGAGGCTCTACTTGTGGAAATGTGCGGTCAGAGGTTCTACTGCTAATGACAGCAGCAAGTCAGCAGGAAAATTCTGGAACATTCTGCTCTGCAATGTACCTCTAGAGAAGTTCAGCGGCAGTTTAATTCCAACAGTATCTGTAAGAGTTAATAAGCTCTCTCCACTGACCAGATAAATAAGCTCTTCAAATCCAAGGCAGGTGCCCCACACAGGAAAATAGTCTCCTTCACCAAAACTCTTTATGGACAAGTTGTAAAACATTTTGGCCACACGAGCGTAACCTGACCTCATAAGGTTAACGCTTCCTCCAGGAAAAAGGACTCCATTAATAGATTTGAAAAGCTTTTCATACTGTTCATTTTCAAGATCAAGCCTTACTCTCGCACCAGCTGACTCCAGAAACTTCACGTAGGATGCAGCAATATAGTATTTTCCCAGGGCTTTCACGTTCTTATTATGGCACCTTTGCATTAATATTCCGATGATGGGCTTCTTGGGGGTGGGCGCGGGAGGGGCGCTCAGACCGAGGCCCGCCGCCCCGCACAGAACCAGGCCCAACACGCTCAGCAGGCGACCCAGTCTCGCCATTGCGCTCGCTGCCTCCCGCCGCCTTTCAAAGGCACCACCGGCAAGCCGACCAGTGAGGCAGCGGCGGTCTCTGGGCCGCTCGAGGGCGTCGGGCGGGGGCTGGTTTTATAATATGTCTTTCATTTCACTATGTGGATTAAGAAAAAAGTCAGGACTACAATAGCCAATAATTCAGAAATTCAAAATCACAATAGTTTTCTCACCTCTTTAAGGCTTTCTCATCTCCACTGCAAGTGATTGGAGAAGGAAATGGCAACCCACTCCAATAATCTTGCCTGGGAAATCCCATGGACAGAGAAGCCTGGCGGGCTACAGTCCATAGGGTCACAAAGCATCAGACACGACTGAGCAACTGAGAACACACTGCAAATGACAGTTTCTTTTACACTGTTGGGATGCCTCACTGGGCAAAGCTGTGCTGGGACAAGAGATCCAACTCTGCCAGTCCAACCTCAAAGGGAAGTTTCTTCCCACCTCCAGGATCCCCTGGGCTTCCTGGGCTGCCTCAGGACTTCATACGCAGCCTGGATCTCCAGAAAGTGTCTCTGAGCTTCCTCCATCTGGTGCCGATTGTGGTCAGGGTGCCAGGTCTTCACTAGCTCCCTGTATCTGCCATGTATTTCTTCATTTGTTGCCCCCTCTGAGAGACCAAAAGCCTTAGGGAAACAGAAGCCAACAAATTAGAACCTCATAAGTTGTCAGGGCTCCTGGATCTCTCCTCGCTACCTTCCTAAACCAGGCTGGAATTGGCTTCCACTTGCTGGCAGGAAAGGCAGACAGCCTCAGATTAGAATTCCAACCTTCTGAAACATGGACAAGTTCTAGATCTCATGGCAAGAACCAGGATTTGCTTTTAATCACAGATGCCCATTTTCCAACATGGAACTTGGCATCCTTGACAAGGTCTCCTCCTTACATATATGCAAAATAAGCATATATGTCCATCAAAGACATGTTCAAGAGTGTTTGTAGCAGCTAATCCAAATGTTCACTGACAATAGAATGGATAGATAAATTGTGGTATATTCACATAATGGGACATCAAACAACTATGAAAACAATTTATAATCCCGTGTATGAGTAAATTTCACAAACATAATGTTGAATGAAAGAACTCAGACACAAAAGAGTACACACTGGATGATTCCATTTATATGAAGCCCAAGAATGGGCAAAATTAATCTATGGTAATAAATGTCTGAATACAGATTCTTTCCCAGGAAAGGAGTATACATTGGGAAGGGGCATGAGGGAATCTCCTTTTTTGTTTTGTTTTGTTTTTTGGCTGCGCTGTGCAGCGTACAGGATCCTAGTTCCCTGATCAGGGATCGAACCCATGACCCCCACAACGGGAGCTCAGAGTCTTAACCACTGGACTGGCAGGGAAGTCGCAAAGGAACCTTATTAATTATGGAAGTATTCCATACCTTCATCTGAGTGGTGGTTAAATAGGTATCTACATAAAATTAGTGTACTTTATATACATATTATACCTCAGTAAAAAGAAAATAACATACATATATCTTTTCCCACTCCTTATTAGAGTCACTGAACCATCACTCATTGCACACAGAAGCCCAGAGAAGTCAGGATACCCTTCTGGGGTCTGACCCAGCAGACATGAAAACAGTACCTCCACACCAGCTCCAGTGAGACTTAGCCTAACTCCTGGAGCCATCTTAGACAGCAACGAGAGGGAAGAAACCTTACCTGGAGAGCCAGCTGACGCTTCTCATCCTGAAAACTGTGAACAAACTCATAAAGTTTTGCCCACTCTTGGAAGTAGCTGCTGCTGATGCTATGATCTCCTACCAGTAGCTTCCAGGCTCGGAAAGGCAGAAGGAGAACAGACTCCAAAAGGCGCCCAAGGAGGGGGAAGAAGCTGAACCAACTCAAGAAGGAGCCAAGAGTATCTGCCACATAGCTGAGGGTGACAGCTGTGTTGCAGAGCACACTGTACACTAACGGGCCTGTGAAAGCAAGGTAAGCCAAGCCCAGGCGGTAGAGCCGCACGCTGAGCATCTCTGACCCAGCTGAAGGTTTGTAGCGGCGATGCTTCTGGGCTGTAATGCTCGCAGCCAAGCTGATGGGCAGGATGGCTATGGGGCGGCCATAGAAGATAGGTGAAGTAAGAAATGCGGCCCCTAGAGTGTTCTTTAAGTCTGATGTCTGGTTGCCAATGGCAGCCACCAGCAAGACCCCTAAGCCAACTGCCAGTGGGAGGCCCACAATATAGAAGCTGGCCATGAAGGAAAGGCTAATGAGAGCCACAAGGCCAAAATAGATGCCCACTATCATCTGGGCAACAAAGCGAATGAGACTTAGAGGGGGTATCCCCCTTCCTGAGCTCTGCCTCTGCTCCTGGGCTCTGTTGGCCTGAGCAACAAAGCTTGGGAGCTTCCAGAATTCCCAGAGCCAGCCTAGACCACCACCGCCCAGGGTAAGCATCCAGAGCAGTGCATGGCTGTCCCGTCCCAGGTACAGGTGGTGGAGACCAGCAAGGCCCCCTACAGCCCAGAGGGCGTAAGTCATCAGGAGCCCCTTGGCCATCCTCTAAGAAAACGGTCTCACAGTAAGTCCAGTGGCACCTGCCATTGCCTAGAATGCAGAAATCTGGAGTCGTCTGTGAGAATCACAGCAGTCATGGCCTCAGAGTTATCCTTAGACCCTAAGACATGGAAAAGAGCAGTCATAAGATTATGTCCAGGCCCCAACACAGTAACACTTCTCCTTCCAATATTAGTCAAGTCCAGCTCTTCCTGAGTGTCCCTGCAATTGTAGCTCTCCCATATTCTTAGGTCTAGAATCTCATCTCTGTTCTTTATAACCACAGTGACTCCAAATTTAGAGAAAAAAGTTGTAAGTGCTTTCGGTTGAGTAAATGAGAACTCAGCACAGGGACAAAAAAGCATAAGCTTAAATTGCAGACCTCCCCTCAGACCACCTACCTCCTGGAAGGACTCTTGGTTTGGGAGTGGGGGTGAGTGAATAAAAATGAATAAAAAATAAAAATAAATAAATAAATTGTTAAATGAATAAAAAATAAAATCGAATAAAATACAATATCCCTGAAAAGTTCCTATACAACTTTTAAAGTCCCCTATCTAACCGCCCCTCCCCGCCCCCGTCCCTCAACTCCGACTGCAGCTGCCCACAGACCCCTGGCAGAGATTTTAGCCCTTCTCCAGCCTCCCATCTCTCCAGACCAAGAAATCTTGATACAAGTCAAACTTGAAATAGGTCCTGAGTTCCCTCCAGGTCTAGAAAGCTACATTTTGACCTGGACCCAGGCACCTCACATTTCAACCACCGCCTTCCAGGACAAACTTGTAAGGTCCCTCCATATTGTGGGGCTCAGGCCCACCAGTCAGTACCCGCTAGTCCCAGGGTGAGCAGCTGTACCTGGGTACCTCGGATCCCAGATCACACATTTCCTTTGACCACAGTCAAAATGGCCCCTCTCATTCCGCTCCCACTTCCATCCAAGTGGACTTTGTCTTTCAGCGTTTGCTGTGTCACGGAAGTTGGGCCGTCCTGGCCAGGCCCCTCCTCCCCAAGGCCCTCCCTCGCCCCTTAGGGATCACCTTTCAGGCTGGGGCTCACTCGCCTGCCCTCTCGGGTAAACTTCCTTTTAGGTTTTTCTGGCGTATTCCTCCTCCCCAGGCTCAACCCGGCTAGCGCAGCGCCCACTCCAGGCCAACAGCGTCTGCATTACTACAGAACGACCACCAGGTGGCGCTGCCGCTTGCGGACGGGAGGTGTCGGGCGGATCCCCAGACTCACCTTGTCTAGATGCTGGGGCAAAGCAGCCCAGGGCGAGGCGGGGCGGGGTGGGGGGCCTATAAAAGCAAAAAGAAGCCCTTGATCACCTCTTTGCGCCCTCACAAATGGGAGGGTGACTCTTCCCTCACCCCAGGCTTCAGTCCTCTCTCCCTATTCCATTGCCGTTCAAGACTGCCTTGGATGGCTTCATTTCCAATTTGCCTAAGGGAGAGACACCAGGGTACCGGATGCAGAGAGAGGCTCTCCCCTCAAGTTTGCCTCACTGCCCCGCCTCCAGGCCCGCCAGTCGGGGGCAATACATCTAGATCCAAGCCAGACACCTGAGAATCTCCCAGGAACCCCAAGTCAGCTGTACCTCACTGACTTTGGCGCGAGAGAGAACCAGGAGCAAAAAGGGATAGGGGTGAGGACCTCCCCACCAGGAGACGTCTGCGGCGTCCTCCCGCCTCAATGCTGGGATGGAAGTGGGATGCAAGATCCCCTCATTTCAATGTCGTGGGCTTCAACGCTGCTACGTGACCTTGGCTTTGGGGAGGTGGGGTGGGCCTGTTTCCTCCTCTGTAAAGAAAAAGCGTGGATCTTCAAGTTTCCCCATCTTTGACTTGGGGGTGGGGTGGGCCTGGAGGGCTTGCCCCTGTCGCCTCCCCGCAGTCGACAGATTCTGTTCCCTCCTATATTCCCAGCCCCTTCGGTCCTCTTCCTGGTCCAGGGAGGGAAAGCAGGTCCCCTTGTCTGCTCCCTAGGACTCACGGAGGGGCCAGGGCCGGGAGGGGCATCAAAGCGACGCTGGAGCCGCCAGCTGCTGGGCGCGGGAGCACCGGGGCGCTGAATAATGAATGAGACTTAATTGGGCCGGCACTGCGCCGCGGCGCGCTAAGCTCCGCAAACAGCTCGAGCGGCCGAGGCCGCCGCTGGACAAACAAACTGGCTCCGGGCGCAGAGATAGGGTGGGAGAGGCAGCTACGGAGCGGGAAGAGAGAGGCAGCCCAGCGGGAGGGGAGAGGCAGCCCGCCTGGGCCTGGGGGCTGTCGCCGAGGGGTGGGAGGAACCCACTGTGTGCCGGGCAGCGCAGGCCTCCCAGAAGGTGGGGACCCGGGAGGAAGCTCAGGGCTCGACTTCAGGAAGCCAGGACTGGGGAGGGAGAGAAGCGGATTTGTGGGCTGGGGGCCAGGGTCCCAAGGGCGACTAGCACGAGGAAAAGATGGAGAAACAAGTGGAGGGCGGAGGAGACAGCGAGAAGCGAGAGGGGAAGAAAAGCGCACCGGGGGAGGGGCTGCGGCGGGGCTGGGGCTGGAGAAGAGCAGTTACCGAGAGGAAAGGGAAAGAGCGATGGAGGAACGAGCGAGGGGAGGCGCGAGGAGCTGAGATTAGAAAAATTGGAGAAGAGTCAAGGAGAGGGTGGGAGATGACCGGAATGAGAACGAGAGGGTGGGGGGCGAACTGGAGGCGCCCCTACCTCCGCCTCGCGCCGCCGCGCTCCCGCCTGAGCGCGCTCTCCAGCCGCCCGCACTCACTTTGTCACAATTACGGGGCCGTCACTCGGCCCGGATTGTTTTCCCCAAATTGTTGTTCTATAAACTGGCGCGGGGTGGGGGGGGGCGGTGATCTGACACGCTGAAGCAGGAGGGAAGGGTCTGAGCTGCGGTGGCGGGGGGGTGGGGGCACGGGGAACGTGGCGGTGTATTTACCCGCAAGAGGACCGGGGACGGGTAGGTGAATTCAGAGACTCAAGCGGGAATTCTGGTTGCTACCCCCAGCCTCGTGGCTGACATCGCTTTTAACCATCCTGTCCCTTCTCAGCCTCCGCTGCCTCGGTTTCTCCAGCCGAGAGATGAGAGGCTTGGAGGGCAGGAGCGGCGGAGGCGGCGTAGGTGGGGTCCGAACTTGCCTTCTCACCCCCAATATCTTTTGTTCTCTGCTACCCTGGTCCACGGACCGGGGGCGGGGTGGGGGGTGGTCTATCCAACTCAGCCTCCCCTGAGTGCCAGGGGCACCTGCTCACCCCCGCTAGAAGGCCAGATTCTCACCCCCGACAGGTCTGGACTGCCCCCGCCCCCCACCCTCGCCTTCAGCCCCGGCTCAGCGTCACGCGGTGCCCACGCCGCCTTGCTGTCCCTCAATCCCGCAAACATCTGTTGCGCGCCCACTGTGAGCCATATCCGCGCCAGCCGTCCCCCCACCTCTCCCCCGCCACCCTCCCCTTCCCGGCCGGCCCGGCCTGTCGGCTTCGTGACAGCCGCCGCCGAAGCCCAGGCCCCGCGGGAGCGGCCGGAGAGAAGCCGCCGCATGGCTGGCTCCGACACCGGCCTCCCCGGCGGCTCCAGGGGCAACGGAGGGTGGCGGCCGCTGAAGCGAGACCGGAGCCGGCCCACAGAGTTAGAGATGGGCGGGGGAGGCGGGAGTCCAAGGGCTGGCTTGTCTCCGGGTCTAAGGCCTATCTCTCTCCTCATTCCATTGCCCTGGGGTGGGGTCGGGCCGGGACCTCGCGTGGTTCCCAGAGTCTGGGAAGCGGTCGGCTCCGGCGCCCCCTCCCCCAGTCCGGGTGATTTACACGCGCGCTCCGCTCAGTGGCCGCTTCCCAATCAGGAATATCGACCCCGGGCGGGGCCCCGGGGCCGCATCGATCCCTCCAAGGCTCGGGATTTAAAAATGTCAAATTTGCCTTTTCCGGGCGGGCGGAGGGGGCGGGGGCTTGGAGGAGGGCGGCTTGGGGGTGGGGAGAGGGGCGGACAGCCGGGCATCGACCAGGTGTCTGTGCCCTGAATGAGAAGCGACCCGGTCGTGTCAGGGCCCTGGCATTACCTAGCCAACCTTAGGTTGCAGTCGCCTCTGGATGGGTGCAGAAAGGAAGTTCTACTCCCTTCCCCGTCCCCATGGGCCTCACTGCTGCGTTGGGTATGCCGAGAGGGTGAAGCCCCAGAGAAACAAAGGGAGACCCCTAAATGTAGGGGGGGAAATTTGGAAGAGATTCCTAAACCTGGAGATATACAGACACAAAGAGGGGTGCAGAGACAAAAATTGAGAGGGTTCCAAGAGACACCCTATGTTTAAAGAAGAGCAAGCGAAGGGAAAGTGGCTCAAAGACACATTGACCAAAACAGAGGACCAGAGACCCAGAATCGTGTCAACTCTCTGCTCTGTAGGCCTGGAAGATTCAGGAATGGAAAGGTCAACCTTCTGGTGTGTTTGAGAGGGGGAAGGAGAGTGGAGACAAAGTCAGGTGAAGAAAGAGGGTTATTAGGGAAAGGAATTAGAATATAATTAGGACATTCTCCTAAGGTGTCAACTAGTAATTGGACCTGAAACCCAAAAGGTAAGGATCTTGGAAGACTAGCCTAGGCCCCAAAGATGTGGGCTCTCTTAGAGGTCTGATGGTCTGCCCTTTCCCTTCCTGAGATCTACCTCCTCCTCTCTATCCACCAGCAGCCTGGGGAGGCCAGAGGGGTTGTAGATCACATCTTATATTAGCGACTATATATGAGATGGAGACTGCGAATATGTATACATGTATGTGGAAGGTAGAAAACTCTGGTAGTCATCACTTCCTTCCCCAGGACTTAGCAGCTGGGTCCCCAGACTTCGGAAAAAGCATTGAGAGAGCAATGATGTTTGGGGTGGAGGTGGTGGAGGGAAGCAGTTGTTGAACCAGCAGCCTCACAGTTAACACTATCCCCCCACCCCCAGCAGCACACCTCAGCTGTCACCGGGCACACTGCTGTTTCCTACAGAAGTGGAGACAGAGAGCTGACAGCAAGGTGGGGGGGGGG